AACACATTGATGTATATATTTTATTATTAATTCATATTCATCTGATTTAAGAGTAATGTGTATTTGATCAATCTATAATTTTTTTATTTTTATTATAAATTATATGCAATAACTATTTAGCCATGTATATGAAGTCTGAAATCACATTAACGATATGCAGTCTAACCAACCTACAAGTTATATCACTAATAGTAAGTTGAAAGATATGTAGTCTAACCAACCTATGAGTTATATGACCAATAATAGTGCAACATATGAGCTATTTAATGAGCAACTAATAGAGCTGCTTTGCTAGCCACAACATGAAGTTGACTTATGAGCTTAAATTAATTTAATTCACAAGACACATTATCGAGCTACCTCGTGATTCCCATCGAGCTAGCTCACAAGCAAGTTCATAAGCAACACTATCGAGTTAGCTCACGAGCTTCAAACGAGCCAGCTTGTGAGCCTGACCGAGTGAAATTGACTTGTCTTGTGCTCTACTCATTAACAAACAATTTGGCTCACGAGCTAGTTCATTAAAAATCGAGTTGAGTACCGAGCAACATTTTTACCGAATGTGAACCCAAGCCGCTCCCGAGCAGCATGTCTCATTTGCAGCTCTACCAAACATATAGTATAATTCCTTATCGTACAGTTTCCAAAATTACCAACCGAGCAACGACACAAATACTTAAAAAATTCCTTAATCAAATGTCCACACACATTTAATTAGAAGGCAAATTCTATTATCCACCTATCGGTAATTAGTAATTTAGAGTGAGATATTTTGTTACACTGCGTGACACAGACAAAATTTCACGTCTTATTTTTATATAATTCAATCACATAACCTTATTTTTTTGCATTAGTGAGCTATGCAAATCCATTCACACCTCGACACACGCAGACAAGCACAAATACATGCACGCGCGCACACACTTACATTTGAATTTTATAACGAAATCCAGTTATAGCGTTCACATACTTTGACAAATAATAATTATATATTAGTCATTATTGTTTTTTATTGAATTGATCCTATATGCATTTGAGTTCATAGACTTAGGACAGTCACTCATTAGAAATTAGTGGATATATAATATTGGTGATAATCTACATCTAACTTACCTGACGAGCCAAGTCGAGGAGGATGGAAGCCATGCAATCGAACATAATCCCATTGGCAAGCCGCGAGTACGGCATCCCGTCGGGAATGCTGGGGCCCACCACCAGAACCATCCCTCCGGCCACCACCTCCGCCGCCCTCGCCGCCAGAAACCTCCCCATGTCTTCCCCCCACTGCGCCTTGTACGCCTCCAATACGGCGCCGGACGCCCCCGCGTAGTGGATCCGCCCTCTGTTGGCGGGTGGCCCCTTTGGCGCCGCGGAGAGCCAGTGGATGGAGTAGTACAGCTGGACGACGTGGAGGGACGACGCCGGGAACAGCCTGCCGTGGAACGAACCCGGGACGCCGGCGGCGAAGTAGCCCCTGCCGCCGTCGGCAGGGAGGGGGAGGGAGCGGAAGAGGGCGTTGAAGTCGTTGGACGGCAGGTCGTTGAAGAAGACTTGAAACTCCAGCTGTGACGTGGAAGGATGCTTCTGCTTGATGACGTGGATGAGGTCGTGGATCGAAGCCAGGGTGTTGGGCCCCACGGAGCAGCCCAAGTCGGCGAGTTTGATCACGTTGGCGGTTGCTGAGGTGGCACTTAGGTGACCTGTCACGTCTAGCTTCTTTGCGATGGTATCGTGGATCGTATCTTTTGTCACATCGGCTGCCATTTTCTGTTGCCGTTTCCCGCCATGTACAATAAATGGACAATTACGTACGATTAGTCTCTCTTAACAGAAATCACTGTGATTACCAAATAGTGTTATGTTTAGTCACTAGAAAAATTTAACATAAATTTTGGTTACTCGAATTACTGAATTTGGTCACATTTAGTCACTCTCCCGTCAATGGAATTGGACGGAAACTAATGGGAGAATGACTAAATGTGACATGTTTCAATAATTCGAGTGAACGGAGCTGGACAGAGGCTACAGGAGAGTGACCAAATGTGACCCGTTTCAGTAATTCGAGTGACAAAAATTGATATTAAATTGTTCTAGTGACTAAACATGACACGATTAAGTAATCTCAGCGACCAAATGTGACATTTACCCTAACAGAAATAGATAGTTGCTATCATTTTTCAACAAACACGTACGGCAGTTACTAAAATACCATCCATGTAATTAAGTTACGTATAGATTACATATGCGTATTTTATTTCGTTTCAAAATTAATGATACATCTCTTATATAGTACGTCAATAATAATAAAAATTATATGGAAAAAATTATAATTAAATTAAATAACTTATTCATTCACAATGTAACCATGCAGAAAGATCGATCCAATTACCTGATTGGATGAGGTCTGAATTTGTTTGAGAAGAAGAAGAAGAAAAGATAGATCTAATACTTAGCTTTATTAGATCTGGAAATAAAACACCTGATCTCGACATGAAACTAGCTTATAAGGTAGAGAGAAGGGACAGAGATGGCGAAGGTTGACACTTGATTACCTGATAGAAGGAGTGCAAAGAATAGCTATTATTGCAGCTGTTCTCGTTCATTTTCTTCTTGGTGGAAGAAGAAGAGGAAGAAGAAGAAGCATCGACAGCAGATGTAGCCATTTTCCACAAATCCTATTATACAGAGTTAGCTTTTACGATCTTTCTCGAGTAAGATTCCACTCGCTGTGTACCCCATTAATTTATAGAATGCTACCACTCAATCGTCACTCGGTTAACTTCAACATTTGATTATTTATTGATTTGATTCTTCTTTACAAAATAGTTAATAGCACAAAGTTAAAATATTCGGGAGTTTATATATGTGAATATACTTTTGTCCTTTAATTATTTAAGTAACGGTTGTTAATTGGTGCATGAGATGAGAGGACAGTAATCATACAGCTAGCAACCCATTTATTCATAAATTTAATATCCGCACCCACCCCACGTATATGTGTGTGTACGGGTAGTTGGTGACTTGGTATTTGGAAAATATTATATAGTACGTACGTACGTACGTAGATTTATGATTAATTAGATGAAGCAACGTACGCACAAGTCACAAACTTTGTTTAACTTATCTTTTCTGCGTTGTTTTCAAATTTCAGGCATAATAATGAACTAATGATGGCTCCCTATAGTCGCATTGCGTCAACTTTTTTTTTTTGTAAAAAAAAATGCTTAAAGGCCCCCTACTGGACACTTAAATTAAACAGTTTTGGAGATCCAAAAATTTAGATATGGATCAAACAAATTAAATCGAAACACGAGTCCATATCTCAAGGAAATGAGCTTTGTTGGCAAGATAATCCGCAGCCATATTACATTCTCTATACGTATGGCTAACTCGCACATCCCAATCTTTCTGTAAAAGCTCATGAAATTAGAGGTGTCAATCGGGCGGGTTCGGGCTGGGTTCATTCGGCTTGCGGGTTGGTCGGGTTGTGGATCAATCGGGTTGCGGGTTGATTGTGTTCGGGTTGATCGGGTTGCGGGTTACTCGGGTTATGGGTCACTCGGGTTGCGGGACAATCGGGTTACGGGTTAATCGGGCTGCCGGCGAATTGGGTTACCAGTCAATCGGGTGCGGGTCAATCAGGTTGTGGGTCGGGCAGTTTGGGTTGCGGGTTTTATGGACTAGAACATCGGGTTACTTTTTAGTGATTACTAGTAAGTCGTAAATCGTAACTATATGAAGCTAGCACAATACTTGTAAAAAAAGGAATCACTACTCAAAGTCAAAGATTCAAAGGTGGGGGAAAACAAAATTTTGGGGAAACATTACAGGGGGGAATTATTGGTGGGTCTCGGCGGGTGGGGGGAATCAAATTTTTGGGCAGTAGTATTGGGGGAACTCAAAATTTGGGGAGAAAAGTTTAAAAATAGTTTTTTAATTTTTTAAAAACAAGTGAAATTGTTCATATAAATGTATAGAGAAATTGTTGGTTAAGCTAGTTAATTTGTTTATATGATTTTTGTATTAAAATAAATTATAAAATTTAGAAAAATTGTTGTGAGTTCAATTGTAACTTTACTCGATAACATATAATTTGTACCAATTAATCACGGGGAGCCCCTTGACTAATACCAAATTTTGTCACACACAACATCCAAAAAGTCTCATTTAGAGACGGGAAGTACACCTGTTTATACAGTATTTGCCGTGACAAAATCATTTCCCATGACCATATGTCAAACATTAATCACAGTATTTGATTGGCTCTCCCATGTCTATATATTAACAATTGATCACGATATTCTACTATAGCTAATTATCAAATCACTAATCACAATATTTTGTCTATTAATATAGGTATGGAAGTATAACATTAATATGCGCATGAAATTATAAGATTAGTGTCAATAAAATAAATATCAACACAATTGCCGCACTGTAATGGATAGAAATTGTACCTTCTCAAACCTAGGACAAGCGAAGTGAGAAGAGAAACAGAAATACAAGTCTTTAATAAAACCAGAAAGCTAGAAGAGAAACAGAAGCTAGAGGGTGATGAATTATTAACTTTACATTGATTCTATAGTAATTGCAAAGCTGCAAGCTCCGCAGGGTAGAAGAAACAACCTATTAGATAAAGGTTTCAAGAAGCATGAAGCTCAATCCCATGTTGCTAGCATGGAGACCATATACCCAAAACCTCTAATGGTTTGATTCATGAACATATCTTAATAAGAAAACTTGATCTTATTAGCTTATGTTCTTCTATAAAAGGCGTCAACAATGACATCATAAAGTGCCCCTGCATACATACAACATAGAATCGGTTCATTAACTTTATTTTCCAAAAAGATAGCTCCCGGAAGCGGTTAGCGTGACTACCCCTAAAGGGGTCTGATTTTTGACACCCAGTGTCATTACCGTCCATTTTAGCTAGCTTAATCTAATGGTCATTGTAAGCACTAATTAATTACATCGAAAAAGAGGAATATGGGGAAAGAGAAGAATATGGGGAAAAACGATTATCACCCCCAATTCGAAACCCTTTTCTTCTCCCCCTTTTTTCTCTCCCTTTCGTTTCCTCCTCTCTCCCTCGATTCCCTCTTCCCTTGCTCGCCGTCGTCGCTTCTTCACCGTCACAGTCCACATCTCCCTCCGGCTCTGTCCCGCATCCTCCATCGTGGCTATGTCTTAGATCGTGACTGTCGGTGTTCTCCGAACAACGCCAAGCTTGCCGTAACTCTCCATCTCCTTCCACAAGCTTGGCACTGTGAAGGGATCGACGGAGAAGACAATGATCATCCTCACCTTCCCGGCAAAGATGACGACCCGTCTCCCCTTCCTACACTGGCCATCCTTCCCTTCCCGGCGACGACGACGAAGAATCTGAGGTAACTCTCTCCGTCCCACTATCTCTCTCTCCCATACCCAGATCTGGGTTTTTGGTGTAGAACTGGTATTGATACCAGTGAACTGGTAGTTTATGATTATACTCATATGTGAGTACTGGTATTGGTACCAGTGTACTGGTAGTTTATCATTATCCTGAATTTTTCTAGATTTGTGATTTTTAACTATTCCTTATCAGTCTAGTTTTTCTCTCTCATACCCACTAAGATGTGTTTTTCTTGTGGTAATGTTACCACTACAATGATAATTGTAGTGTTTGAGTTTTTGTTGAATGTTATTCCAGTGGTATATCACTGGAGTGGTATAAATTGTTGATTCTGGTACGGAAGTATACCACTCCAGTGATAGTTGATTCTTGGATAATGTAGTGTTGTTTATTTGTCTGCAGTCTATCAATACATTGATATAGTTAACCATGTGAATGTTTTTGTGGCATATTGTGTCTATCACTTTAGTGGTAGATCTATCACTGCAGTTGTTGATCTATCGCTGCAGTGGTAGATCTATCGCTGCAGTGGTAGTTCATTGTGATGTTTTTGTGGGTAGTGCTATCACTGTAGTGGTACAAACAAAACCATTATGGTTGTTTAAAGTACAACTAACGTAGTAATTATGTTTAGAATGACTTTCTAGGATAGAGCTATCAATGGATTGATATATCTGCAGTGAAAGTCTTATTGTTGATCTCATCTATCAGTAGTTATATTTATTGGTTTGACTTTTGATTTTACCTTCTTTGATTTCAGTCAGAGCAGTGAGTTCCTCGAGAAATTGTGGAGCGGCGTCGGATGCACGCTAGGAAAGACAAATCACACGGAGCAGGGAGTAGAGAGCACGTTCCGGACTACAAGCGAGAGCGATTAGGGAGCTTGCAAAATGGAGCAATGACAATGAAGATATTTATGGTCCAACAACTCTTAATGTCGAGTTTCAACGAAAGTTAAAGAGGCTTGAGGTGGAAAAATATATTGTATTCATTTGGTTTATCAAATTGATGAAGAATTTAATGGATGCATATTTTGGGAACTTTAATGGTATTTGGTGCTCTATTTTCACATTAGTAGTATCCTTCCCCCAATTCTTATAGTTTTGTGGCGTGTAGTGTATTTCTCCCATACAAAATACAAATGAAGTGGTACATTAGAAGTGGCAAATACGAGTTGGAGTGAGAACAATACCAGTGCAATGATATTTTTCATAACAATGATAAACAATAACGGAGCAACAATGCAGTACCACTTCAATGATACAAATACCACTCCACTGGTACACGTACCACTCCACTGGTACACGTACCACTCCACTTGTGCGAGCAATCCACCAGGTAGGTCAGAGGCGATCCCAGGATAGCGGCGGCTGGAGATAGGAGGATGGTGGTGGGGGAAGGCGCTGGAGGAATACGACGGTTGGAGGGATGGAGGCGGCAGAGGTGGAAGGCGTGGATGAAGAGGGCGGAGAGGGGTGATGGCGGTGGCGGCTGCGGGAGGAAGAGGAAGATGAAAATGAGGGAGGGTTTTGGTCGTTTCAGAGTAGAGGAGGGTTCTGGTTAAAATGAAATCAAAATGGAGAGAGAAGGAGACGAAAGGAAGAAAAAAATGGCAATTAATTGCACATTTTGGGGGGGGGGGGGTGCTTTTTTCTGATTCCCCAAATTCTTTCCCTTTCCAATGTGGGTGAGAGAACCCAAATTACAAGATTAAAAAAAATAAAAAACCAGTTTAATTAATACTTGCCAATGATTGGAAATAAAATTGGCCAATCATAAAGGGGGTATCAAAAAGTCAACCCTTTTAAGGGTAGGCATACTATCCGACCCCCCATTCAACCACTTCCACTGAGAAAAACAACAACAAATCTACAGAATTGCAGCAATTACTACAACCTATTTGGGTGAAGAGGCTTGCTCAAACATTGAGATAACATATGGAACCATTGGCTTGCTATATTTTGAACATTCATCTCAAAACCCAAACCCAAATTAATTAGTATAAAAAAGACACGACATCAGTAAATCAAATGTATCGACAACTACTTATCTTGCTATGCCTTTCAATCTCTTTACAAATAATCTTCCCTCAACAATTTTCTAATATCACAGAAATAAAATGCAACAAAAAAAATCAGTAAATTACTTGCTCATGCATCAAGGTAAATTACTGGATCTAGATTCTCTTTTCTCTCTGCTAAGGGTCCAAAAATTAAACAATCCCCGCCCACCCCACTAAAACCCAAAAAAGAGCAGCCAACAACTCCTGCATCCCGCCCAAGTGCTTGTATATTTTAGACTTTGTTGTAAAACTGGCGGGGAAGACAAAATTTTGGTAAAAATAAGGGGGAAAATAAAGGGGGGAAGGCAAAAATTATCTGAACTACGGCGGCGAATTTTCACACTTTGGTGTAATTTTGGAGCAAAAAATGAAAAGTTCCCTCCAAACATTTACGGCTGTTTAAATCCTTTTTTATTTTTATTAATTATAAGCCAAACCTTTTTGTCGAATTCTTTTTTATTAATCAAACCTATTGAATTACTGATAATTATTTTGATTTTTTATAATTTATCAAAATAATAGTCATTTTCCCGTTATCGTTAATAATTTTTTAACTCTTTTCTTAGTTAAATACTATTTTTTTTTTTGGAATTTTAACCTCCATGTATTTTTCCACCTCGGTATCATATTGTCAAATCAATATTATTAACAAACTTGCTAGCTAGAAGTTGACATTTGGTCAATTATTAGTAATTCAATAGGTTTGGCTAACTAAAAAGAAGGCAGGAAAACTTTGGCTAATAATTTTTCTTTACCCTACAATTTACAAAAGTAAACAATTACATTGTTCACGGTAATTAACCGTGACTAACAATTAGTCATAGGAAATGAAGACAGGAAAATAGGTAAACTGATTCACGTGTTTAGAACTATACAATCAAATATAAAAATTTTACCATGACTACAAACATACTTTTTAGTACGGGAAAACTTCCCGTGAATAAGATCTCGTGTCTAAAAACGAGTTTTCCTGTAGTGATAAGAAAAGTTGATCTTATTAGTTATGATTTTGACTAACCGTGGTCAAATCATTAAGACTTTGTACCCTAACCATATACCCTATAAGCCGACTCTATAACCTATACCCTAAACCCCTAATGATTTGAATTCTAATTGATGAACATGTGTTAATAAGAAAAGTTGATCTTATTAGTTATGATTTTGACTAGTAATTGTTAAACCATTAATACCTTATACCCTAACTCATTAGACTAACCATATACCCTATACATCGACTCTATAGTCTATATACCCTAAACCCCTAATGGTTTGATTCATGAACACGTGTAATACCTTAATAATAGGTTGATGATGTATATTATTATACTAAGTTAATAATTGATGATGTAATGATCAGACTTTAGTGAACTAGAATTTCAAATGTCAACTTTTGGTTTATCTTCATCGAATTCCTTCTATTATAGTCGGGCTGCGAGTTGGTCGGGTTACGGGTTCGGGTTAGTCGGGTTGCGGGTTGGTCGGGTTGTGGGTTGATGGGGTTGCGGGTCGATCGGATTGCGGGTTGGTTGGATTGCGGGTCAATCGGATTGCGGGTCATTGACTTTTAGTCAAATCGGGTTGCGGGCGGTTGCGGATCGGGTTGATCGGGTGGGTTACTCGGGTCGGGTTATATTTTGACAGCTCTACATGAAACTGAAGGATAGAATGTTGAGTTTGTAGTACATGTTCCGCCTCCCATCCATTGATGTTAGTAGGTGGAAAGCATCCATAGAGTCATTATTGAGCATAACCTGCTAGTGGCCTTGATTCAATGTCATTTGGAGGCCGATAATCGCCTCCTTAATGGTGCAGGTGCAAAGATTCGTTGCGAATTCCCCTAGGCATTTCTCCGCGCTATCTCGTATAAGGCCACTTGCTGCCTCCTCGGAGTCTGACTGCTAAACAGAACCATCAGTGTTTACCATCACCCAGTCTCGCTAGTCGCAGTGTACTTTGTCATGATTCATGATTTTTCATTCAAGCCACAAGTCTTGGATTCAACCTAAAGCTAGATAACTTATTAGAGACTTTTTTTGGTGTGTGGATGAATGAGCTAATTAGAGAGTTACAAATAACTTGTGAAACTCAATTGAATGCAAACTGATAAGTTTTATTCAATAGTGATCATAAATTATAAGTATATCGATCTCCGCCTGTAATCTTAGCTTCCAGTAATCATGACGGACTCTGCAACCCTGAATTCAACTAACAAACCTAACTAACTTCAGCACTAACCATCTGACTTACTTGCAAACCGTAAACTACGTTTAAACCCTAACAGACATAAAACTGATCAAGCTATAATTAGCCAAACAACATAGTTTAATTTAAGACCGAACATTTGAATTTTCCACTCCTGGAGCAAAATAGCATTTCTTTGTAGTGACCCGAGTTCGATTCTTCCTCTAACATCCTGTCTTGGTCATTACATAAACAACTTGCTCACTACTTCCCACATGCTCCAACTCCACAACACCCTAAAAGTACAACAGATTACATCGAATGACAAGATTATTTGGAGTATGGTATACTCTAAGAGTACGCCAATCAATTATAAGCGTGATAGTTTAGGGTGGTGGTTCATTTAACCAAACCAAAAATCATTAGAAATCGAAACCCGAATTTGCTAGTTGCCCTAAAGTCGTTAAGAGTTTAAGAGTTTTTGGTTAACATCGATAGGCCTTTAAAGTTTTTGGCAAGAATACATAGAGAATGGAATTTTGAGTAAGCTAAGTCTTATCAATTTTTTATCGGCTTATTAACAATTTTTCGTGTGACAAAAATATTAGAAGGATGTTCAGTTTTCACCCATTAAAGAAGACTGCTAAGACTATAAAATCATTTTGGTTAAGACCAAAAAACTGCACCCGACTCGCCACTTCTAGTGATAGTTGATTTTAAAATTTGAGCTTAAAAATGTGGATTTTATATCCCACGTTATTTTTATGCTACCTCTTGCCTGCATATTCATCAACTTTTGTTGAAAAATAAGCCAAACTCGAACAAATTTGTACAAAGAAATCAATTACAAAAGGCTTTCGAGCTTGTTCGCGAGCCTATCGAGAAGATTATGTCATGACTCGAGCCCAACTCATTTACAAATGAGCTTGTTCGCGAGTCGGCTCAGTTGAAGAGGAGTCAAGTGGCGAACGAATTTTTCTCTAATTGAACACCGAATCGTTCATGAGCGGCTTGGTTCATTAACTACGTTAATTGAATGGAAGCACACAACTTGGATGAATATTCTATAATCCCATAAAGGAAAATATATATAACTGAAAAGGGAATGTTGATTTTTTTTTTGTGCGAAGAACCATTCCCCATACCGCAGTCGCCACATTGGTGTCGCTGAAGGCAAGGTGAACTCAGGGCTCCTGGACCTACACAGTCGTTCAAGGACACCCAGGATGGTCGGTGGGGAGATGGTCCTGGCATTTCGGGCAGGCTCCCTTCAAGCAGGGTAATGCCTTCAATTATAATCGTTAGTCGCTACTTAACAACATCTAACCCCTCATGGTTAATAACTTGGATGAATATTCTATAATCCCATAAAAGAAAATATATATAACTGAAAATGGAATGTAATTATTTTTTTTTTGTCCGAAGAACCCTTCCCCCACAAACGCCACATTGGCGTCACTGAAGGCAAAGTCAACTCCGGGCTGCTGGGCCTAAACAGCCGTTCACAGACGCCCAGGGTGGTCGGTGGGGAGACGGTCCTGGCATCTCAAGCAGGGCAAGGCCTTCAATTATAATCGCTACTCGCTACTTATCAACATCTAACTCCCCCATGATTGATGATTCATAACTTGGATGAATATTCTATGATTCCATACAAGAAAATATGTATAACTCAAAAGGGAATGTAAATTTTTTTGGTGCGAAGAACCCTTCCCCACAGTCGTCACATCGGTGTTGCTGAAGGAAAGGTAAACTCTGGGCTGGTGGGCCTACACTGAAACACCCTAGTCCGGTCAGACACTACTTTTACCAAAATACCATTGATAAATCGTGAAATAAAATAAAAACTAAAAATACTTAGAAAAAT